ACAGAATACTCCAGACAGATGCCCAGCTGCTGTGCAGTTTCTGTGAATGTAGCCATGCCATTATTGCCATAATCATCATTGCTTCTAATAGCTCCAACCCAAGTCCAACCAAAGTGCTTGACCAACTGGGCCAGGGCTCTGCTCTGATAGTAGTCACTGGGTACTGTTCTGAGGAAGGATGGGTATTTGGTTTTGTCACTGAGACAAGCACAGGTGGCAAAGGCACTGATCTACAAGAAAAAGAAATGACTTCCCAAGATAAAGGTGTAAGTTATGAAACATTCACACACACTTTTGCTCTGAGCAATTGGATATATGCAGATTAATCACTTTTTACAAAATATAATTACATATTTATTCATCTTACCCACCAGTGGGAGATGAAAGGGTCCAATGACAGTGGCTATAGCCATGCTAGTAGAGGAAGACGATGCTCCCATTATGGCCTGCACTTGTGCAGGTCTGGTACATGGTGCCTCAGTGAGTTCAGACACAACTTCATTACCATTGGCCAAGGCCAGTGCAACTCTCACACTTCTGGCAATAGAACTACAGGAATCATACATTTTATAGCCCAGAGAGATGCCAGGTAGTAGATCTGTGCTGTTATTAATCTGCTCAATAGCAAAAATCATAGCCTGGGCACACTGGAACTCTATGAAATTCAGACTTGATGGAGACAGTTTTCAATAGTAGTACTTGAAAGAAGTGAATAATAAATGAAAGTATGTGATAGCATTAATATAATATCCTAATTCATAAAATTAAATGGTGTAATTTAAATATTAATATTACATTTTTAATTTAGGTATTTTAAATAGAAACGGATTTCTTTGTTATAATTTACCTGATGCATTCAGGTGGCAGTGGCTTGTGCATGTAAGTATCCTGTCTGACTTTCCAGCTGAAGTGGAAAGAGAAGATTGCCCCTAGTATAATGTCTCCATCCTCAGATAGTTGGGGATTGTCCTGACCCCCTCTCCGTTGACACACTATCTTCTCAGCCTGAGAGAAAGACACCACCAGTAACAGCTGTAAAAGTGCCCAGCCCTGCTCTGGCCACCTCTGTGTGGATGTCATACTGTCTGAGAGAACTAAACCACTGGGTGGCATCACATGTACAGTCAAACTAATCACAAGCTTGCACTGGTATTTATACACTTTGAATTAGCATAAAAATAAAAATAGAACATTGTTTCATCTCAGTTTACCTTCAAGGTGGAGGGGAGAGCAGTAACTGAAAAAACAAGTTGAGGTTGTAACTTATTATAAATATATCCATATTATTTATATTATCAGATATGAATAATATGAATATTCAATTATACTGTACATTTATTCTTGTTTTAAAGTTATTTTATTTTGTTTTAAATCTATTGACTAATATTCACTACATTACTAAGTCCACATTTTTAAATGAATTTACAGTTACACTTTAAACTTTGAAAGATAAAGGAGGATAATTTTATATAAAATCAATAATGTTTCCACAACAGTTCAATAATTGGGTTAGTACAATAATTTGTTTTTTTGCCGCTTGGGTTCAGCACACTGTGTTGTAAGCATAAGATTATACCCGGTAAAGTTGATGTGTGGATATGGACAGGAAACAGTTCCTTATTATTTTGTTCATTTGTTCCTTATTTCTGATCAGGCTCCCACACGTACAGTACAGTATATGTGTCGTTTTTGGTTTTGAAGTAATTATTGTGGTGACATTTACAGTAGAAGTGCAGCTAACTGTAGCTAGCACATATGCCTAGGACACCGGAAACATACAGATCTACATGCCTAAACAGATGATATTTACAGTATGAGAAGGTTGCCATCACTTATGCTGACTGCTCAGAGAGGGAGCAGGGCACCATCAGTGTGGAAATCTTCACTAACGCACAGGGCGTTAGCAAAGCTGCTGGAGGAGCCATCAGTGCGTCAGAGAGTGCACCAAAACCTCACCAAAAATGGTGGCCTAGGAAAAACAGTGCTGTAAAATTGAACTAAGGAGCTCTTATCTGCTACAACTGTTTTGGTATGGGACATTTACAGAAGAACTGCTCCATGCCAACACAAGTAGATCATCAGCATGTCAGCCTGCCCAAATATCAACATGACTCCACTATTTGACACAGGTCTAGTGGCTGTCTGTACTAAAAACCCACAAGATGAAATGTGTATTCAAATAGTGATACATGGACTTGAAATCTGTGCTCTGTTGGACTCTGGGTAGCAGAAAAATGTGTTTCCCCTCCACCAATTTAATACCATTCCACTGGAGACCAGACCAAAAATACAGCCTTCAATTGTACAGATCCTGCAGGGCATTGGCCCCAGGGGCTGAACGTCTTGGGTGAAGATGTTCTACCTGCTCACATTGGAAGCAGAGTCATTAATATGACTAATAAATCAACAACTACTATTTCTAAATATCAATCTAAGCTATTTTACTGATTAAAATCATTAAAGTTGAACTCTCAGTCACTGAATAAAAGTCAAAGAATCTCTCACTATCACCAGTCCTCAGTTGATTCGAGTTGGTGGTCATGGCATTTTGTTGAAAATCATCATTCTCTTGTAGAATTTCCTTTAGGTAGGGACTCAGAAATTTCCTTGCTAAATTTTGGAAATTATTTAACATCTCAATTGTCCCTCATTGACTTCTATCTTCTTTCCATACCTTCCTCCCCCACAGGTCAGGGTGGCCTGTAGGGAAGAAGCTGCAGCCAAAATGTCCTTTCAGCCTGCCTCTCTGCAGTCTCTCGGTCTTCTGGATGTCAGAAAAACAACTGGACAGTGCTGAGCAAGCTGTTGTTCCTCTTTTTCTTGTGGTTTTAAAGGGTTCTTGTCACATAGGCTTTGTCTTTTCATCCAACCAGATGCCACAGTTTTCAGCTATTGCCTTTTTTGGCATGCAAAGTCTTGTTTTTCAGAACTATTGCATATCTATTACCATCAAGGTTCAGTACTTTGCCTGTAACCAACTTCCCCCCACTGTGATTCAGCATTATTCACTTCTCTTTTTTAGTTGCTTACACATTTCACTCTGAATGTAAAATCACTTTTCATTACTTCTTCAATACAATCATTCTGGTTCTCTCCAGAACTTGTTTTTACAGCTCGAGGGGCAGATTTATTAGTTATTCATGGAACTGTGCATGTACTCTCATATGACTGGTTGAGAGGAGTGTGAGGTGCTGTGCTCTGACTGAGGAGAGATGAAATGGGAGATTAATTTTTGTTAAAAGTTAATTCTATGTAGTTCATAACTTCCATGAACCGTGGCTGATATGTTTGACATAATCATTTCATATAACTAATGTGGAATAACACATTTAAACACAATTTTAAGCAACACATAGTTTGGCGTGAAACTCATACATGGATCATTCTATGGGAAGAAAGGAACATTAACTTTGAGAATAAAAGACAAAAGCAGTGATAATCATAATACTGATAATAATGTCTTTTTGTTTGATTCCACTACTAAAACCATTTGTATCATATTTGATACGTGAGGTTTCCAAGTGACGGAAGTATGCCACTTCCTCATCGGGTTCCAGATGATGGAAAGAATATTTAGTCACAAAATACCAAAGTGCACTTATAATTACCTTTATTCACAGATGCGCATCTGGAGATCACTTGAGCAACAGCAGCCAAGATGATCTGATCTGATCTCTCTAACATTGTGTGTTTTATACTATTCTTCCCGCCTCCTTACATTCCTTAGGATGCAGCTGAGATCAATCAACACTCAACCAAAGTTCTATCCCACCATACACAGTGCTTATCTCATGACACTTAAGTCTTCCTCCCTAAAACTAAGGTACTTTCCTGTGATCAAAAGCACACATACACATAATGATTACATGAACACTCAGTAATGCTGAGAAAGCTAAAACTTATCCTTATCAGTTCATTAATAATAAAACAGTGGAGTGTATCAGACATCTTTACAACATCTCCATGTCCACTGTTTTCAATCATTTTGCCTTTTCCTGTAACTCCCTGCATGTGAAGCAGTGCTGAGCACCACTCCCAGGAGTACATCACAGTGTTAGAGTGAATACACATTGCAATTAATTAAAACATGGTTAAAGGTTACATTCTTGTTCAGTTCAATTACATAAAACAGTGCCCATACTTCAAACTCAGTGAAAGTTACATTCCATTTGAGTGCATAAGACTATGCTGGTGCTTCAGTTACAATGTCTCAAACAGTCTAATACAGCATGTAATCATGGTAACTGCCTTGGAGCAGAGCACTGCTCCTCAGAAGCGCACACACACTAAGTGAAGGCTATGCATGAAGGCCCTCCCATAAGTACATAAGTGAACATACTATG